CCTGAAGACGTCCTTAGATGACGAAACGCGTCGGGGCGGGGCTATACTTTGCAATACCACGCACAACCAGGAAGTGCAGAAGCTTTACTCACATCGTGTGAGCGGCCGGTTTTATCGTTTTAAATTGTAAGTGGCTACTTTTTTTTATGACCCGGCCGCAATGCAGGCAGTTCATTCTGGCCAGAATCCAGCCAGAACGCACTGCAACTGGTGTAAACGAGCCCTAAAGCAAGCTGATTAAAGTGAACTAGATTGTGACAGTAATAGCCATTTGTATTATGGCATTATCATCACACGTGACAACTTCTGCAGAGGAGCTGCACTAGTGTGCTTTTCACTCACCTCATAGTTCTAGCCGACCTGTGACAATGAGACTGTCACAGGTCGGCTCAGTAGATCGGGAGGTGAGCGAACACATACCGGGTTCGCTCACCTCTCGATCCTGTCACGGCTCTCTGCTGTGACAGGGGAGGGGCTTGATTCCCCCCTCCCCGCTCCGATCCGCCAGCGCTGACTTGCGGAACGGACGGGGGAGGGCACAGCTGGCTCTGCCACTAGATAGGCAGAGCCAGCTGTCAGTCACGCAGCTGGGCGGATCCCGGCACAATTGTCGGGATTCGCTTCAGCTGCGGCGTCTCGCTGTATACTGAGCCTAGGGTGACGGGAGGACGCTAGTTTGTGTCCTCCCGTTACCCTAAGGAGAACTATGGGGAAAAGCCTTAACCCCATAGTTCTCCTTTAATGTGGTCACAAACGTTGCCTGGGCTGGGCACCGATCAAGGTGCAAACAAAGTGTCACAAAGTTAGAGCCTTGATACTCACCCTCCATCCATCTTCCCCCGCTCCCCCCTCCTCTCAGCTGTTTCCCCGACATCAGCAACAACCGATCTCCGGTTCAGCCTTCAGCCGCCTCAACTAGCACACCCACCCACCACTGTTAACCCTTACCTGCCTTGGCAGCATCCTGATCGTCTCCAGGTCTCACATGTCTGTGATGTGAGGCTGGGTCAACATTTCAGCAGAAGCGCAGGACCTCCTCGGCAGCCGAAGGTCTAAGAAAAATTTAAAGTGCCGGTAACAAAACTTAGTGTCTTGTGTCCAGGCGTCAGCTGGCGTGACGCCCGGGCACAAGACTCAAAAACCTGACTGTACGGGTGGCATCCTTACTATCAAGCCTTCCTCTTTTTCTTTTTTTTGCATGCTTATTGATGACATGCATATATGCATATAGACGATATGGGAATGAAGGTGTACTGTTTACTTAAGTAAACATACAGTACTACAAGCAAGATTTGCCACTTGTGTGTTTCCTCCTTCCTATCAGTAAAAGTTCTGTTAGTCCGGAGAGGTTTGAGTGACCAAACTGAGAAACAGAAATAGGTGATGTGGAAGAGCACACCTTTACCTGCAGTTGGTACTAAGGCCTTGGCGCTTCCTTGTTCTTGGGATTGATCAAAACACACGAGCGTGGACTGACCCCTGGAATGCTGCTGGTTCAGGCGAAGAGTGATCCAATATGATACAGGCACGTGATCGTATGTTAAAGGTATGTTATTGTGACATCATCTTATATCAAGGTGGAAATTTGAAGTTATAGTGAAGAGATACATTGGCTGGGGTGTAGAATACTTTATCTTTAACTGGTGATTTGAGCGCTGCATCATTTTATGAACAGCGTTATGCATTTTATAACCAAAATCCTTCCTGACCTGAACTGCCCATATTTCTCCACTAGATGTCACTATCGGAGCTGTAACACGTACACTTCGCTAATGCAAAAGTGTAAAAACGGGAATCTATTTTGAATACAAGATACAATCCGTGATCAGAAGATTTATTTGTCCAATAAAAACAATAAATGTATTATGTACTTTTATTCTGTAGTCACCTTGATTCATGGACTGATAGTTGCAATATTGATCTTGATGGAAAAGTCAGAGAAGGGAGTAGGGGGATAGTATGAGCTCACTTTCAGTAAGTTTTAGAGGACTATTCACTGAAGAGCCAAAGGAGATAGCCAATTAGCCATAGCCGCCGGAGCCCTTCGGTTTAGCCGAACTGAAGGGCTGCTGTACAGGCTATTCACAGTAACCCGTACAGCAGCAATACAGCTCAGCCGAGCCAAATGTATATGCTTCGGCTCGGCTGAGCTGAACACATAGCTGATGCAGGGAGAATGATTCTTCCTGCAAATGCAAACAAGGGGGAACCACAACCCTCAAAAATGGGGGAACCATGGGGGTCCCTCCTAAAATTCCCAACCAGACCCTCCATCCAAGCACAGGCCTGGCAGGGCAGGAAATGAGGGACAAGTGCATCATACCAGGCCACATGCCCTTGGCATTGGGAGGGTGCTTTTCCATGGGACCCCCCTTGAAAAGCACCTTGTCCCCATGTCGATGAGGACAAGGGCCTCCTCCGTCACAACCCTACCTGGTGGTTGTGGGGGGCCTGTAGGCAGGGGGGCTTATTTGCATCGGGGTACCCCCTTTCATAAAGGGGCACCCAGGTGCTGCCACCACCCCTTGTGAATGAGTAAGGGGTATATGTACCCCTACTCATTCACTGAAGGGTTAAAGTAAAATGTAAATAAACACACCAGACTTTAAGCAAAAATTCTTTAATTAAAAAAACTTAAAAAAACAAAACACACACAACAAACATTTGCCGGCCGCTGAAGTGGCTATACCAAGAACACAGCTGCTGCAGCCATGTTCCTGGTATCAGTGTAAACAGACAGCGATTGCTGTTCAGGTACAAGCCATCTAGTGACTATATAGCCACCGGATAGCTTGTACCGATGAGCGGAGTGTGCCCTCTTAAAAACACCCCCCACTTATATGCCCCCCTCGGGCTCCGCTGTCCCCTGTGAGGGCCTGGGACTGGCACGGCGGGTCACCCCGCATTGATCAGAGAGAGATCAGCAGGATTCTAGCGGCTAATCTCTCCTCAAAAAAATCACTGGACCCGGAAGTGGTGTGTATTACATCACTTTCAGTGTCACTGTGCACATTCTCCGGCTCTTAGAGCCAGGAAATGAAGCTTTGGGGGGACCCTAGGTGACATTTGGGGTCTGAAAAAAAACCCTGATGTCCCCATAAAGAGGACCTGTCACACCCTATCTGTTATTTACATAGGGAGCTTGTTAGCCCCCTATGTGATAGCAATAAAGTTAGTGTAAAAAAAAAAAAAAATTGTTTTGACAAATTAAAAAATGTAAGTACCATAACGTGCAAAAACGAAAATTCTAGGGCCATCAATCACTTAACTGATGAGCAGCAAAAGCTTTTTAAGTGTCCCCTATGGGTTTTCGGCCAATAATCGTAAGGTGTATGGGCACCTTTACGCTCGCCACACATCAACTTCTGGGACAAAATATTCACTTGCTGCCTAATATATCCCACCACTTCCAGGTGTCGTAATGAGATAATCATTGTTATTCACTTCACCTGTCATAATGTTATGGCTGATCGGTGTATACAAATATATTTTTATATATATATTACACAGTTGTGTGAAAAAGTGTTGGCCCACTTCCTGATTTACATTGCTTTGCACGTTTGTCACACTTTAATGTTTCAGATCATCAAACAAATTTAAATATTAGTCAAAGATAACACAAGTAAACACAACATGGAGTTTTTAAAGGAATGTTTTTAAAAATTAAGGGAAAACAAAATCCAAACCCACATGGCCCTGTGTGAAAAAGTGTTTGCCCCCGAAACCTAATAACTGGTGTGGCCACCCTTAGCAGCAAGAACTACAATCAAGCGTTTGCGATAACTTGCAATGAGTCTGTTACAGCGCTGTGCAGGAATTTTGGTCCACTCATCTTTGCAGAATTGTTGTAATTCAGCCACATTGGAAGGTTTTCGAGCATGAGCCGCCTTTTTAAGGTCATGCCACAGCATCTCAATAGGATTCAGGTCAGGACTTTGACTAGGCCACTCCAAAGTCTTCATTTTGTTTTTCTTTCAGCCATTCAGAGGTGGACTTGCTGGTGTGTTGTGTTTTGGATCATTGTCCTGCTGCAGAACCCAAGTTCGCTTCAGCTTGAGGTCACGAACAGATGGCCGCACATTATCCTTCAGGATTTTTTGGTAGACAGCAGAATGCATGGTTCCATTAATCACAGCAAGTCTTCCAGGTACGGAAGCAGCAAAACAGCCCCAGACCATCACACTACCACCACCATATTTGACTGTTGGTATGGTGTTCTTTTTCTGAAATGCGGTGTTACTCTTACGCCAGATGTAATGGGACACACACCTTCCAAAAAGTTCAACTTTTGTCTCGTCAGTCCACAGAGTATTTTCCCAAAAGTCTTGGGGGTCGTCAAGATGTTTTCTGGCATAACGTAGATGAGCCTTTATGTTCTTTTTGCTCAGCAGCAGTGTTCTTTTTGCAACTCTGCCATGCAGGCCATTTTTGCCCAGTCTCTTTCTTATGGAGGAGTCATGAACACTGACCTGAGGCAAGTGAGGCCTGCAGTTCTTTGGATGTTGTTGTGGGGTCTTTTGTGACCTCTTGGATGAGTCGTCGCTGCGCTCTTGGGGTAATTTTGGTTGGCCGCCCACTCCTGGGAACGTTCACCACAGTTCCATGTTTTCGCTATTTGTGGATAATGCTATTTGTGGATAATGGCTCTCACTGTGGTTTGCTGGAGTCCCAAAGCTTTAGAAATGGCTTTATAACCTTTTCCAGACTGATCGATCTCAATGACTTACTTTCTCATTTGTTCCTGGATTTCTTTGGATCTCGGCATGATGTGGAGCTTTTGAGGATCTTTTGGTATATTTGCTTGATCTGAAACATTAAAGTGTTACAAACGTGCAAAACAATGAAAAATCAGGAAGGGGGGCCAACACTTTTTCACACAACTGTGTGTGTATGTTTGTATGTATGTATGTATGTGTGTGTATATATATATATATATAACAATTATTTATCACTAGATGGCACTGTGGTAATGCAATTTATTTTCTTAAGCTGCAAAGCAAGTCTTGGAGAACTATGGGGTCAGGGCTTTTCCCCATAGTTCTCCTTAGGCCCTATTCACACTGAGCGATTCGCAAATCGCACGTTTGTCGCGAGATTTGCATTTTGCGCGATATCAGGCAAATGGTTGCATTGAGCAACCTAGAATCGCGGCAAAATCCGCTCCAAAAAGGGTCCTGCTGTAGCGACGCACGACCCGCGACAGAGCACCATTGGATTGCATTGGAGAGCGATATCGCGGGAATTACCGCAAGATAAATCGCTCAGTGTGAACGGGGCCTTAGGGTAACGGGAGGACACAAACTAACGTCCTCCCGTCACCCTAAGCTCAGTATACCGTGAGCTACAGCTTGCGGTATACTGAGACGCCGCAGCCGGAGCGGATCCCGACAATTATGTCTGGAACCGCCCTATCTAGAGGCAGAGCCAGCTGTACCAACCCCCTCCCCCCGTCCGTCCGTTCTGCCAGTCAGCGCTGGAGGATCGGAGCGGGGAGGGGGGTAATTCAGCCACTCCCCTGTCACGGCAGAGAGCTGTGACAGGATCGAGAAGTGAACGAACGCCGCTATGTGTTCGCTCACTTCCCGATCTACTGAGCCGACCTGTGACAGGCTCATTGTCACAGGTCGGCTAGAACTATGAGGTGAGTGAAAAGCACTCACCTCATAGTTCTCCTTTAAGCTGCCCATACACTTTACAAAAATTGTGCGATGGTTGTAAGGTGATTAAAATTTCGTACGATATGCCCATCTTGGACAGGCAGATCGTACTTGCGATCATCGCAAGTCCTCCCCGCTGAGGGGAGAGCTTACAGAAGATTGCAATGGTGAGCGGGCAGTGTGAGCTTGCGCACCTCGGTCCGTGCGGCTTTCGCGATTACGATACCAACCCGCCAAAAATCGTACGATTTTCGGCAGGTTTTCTAGCATGCTCCTAAGAGGAAAGTCGTGGGACCGTACAGTAAATGCGGTCGCATGCTGCCCATACACCTTATGATTAGCATATGATCGTGGGATCACTCGCGATTACCTTACGATAATCGTCAGGTGTATGGGCAGCTTTAATACATCAATATAAAGTGATAACCGATATATTTCTTTTTTCTTTTGCCACTAATGTTTTGCTATTCCCACGAACTGAAGACAAGCCAATATTTACCTTGTGATCATTGCCCCATCACCTGCCAGAGCAAGCCAGATGCTTTTGGGTATGGGGGACCCTATGACTCCCTTGCCCTTTTTTCCCATAACGCAGCACTGGTCAGACTAATTCTGCTGACTTACAAAAGGAATTTTAGGAAGAGGAGGTGCAACAAAGGACATCAAATCATTGAAGAATGAGTAATACTAAAATCTATTACCAGTTTGTGTTATCTTTTAACCCTATGTTTACCTGCAGACAGAATAAATAGGTTAGGTGTCCAAAGGACAAGTAAAACCAGTTTGCCAGGGATCAGTTGGCTACCCACTTGTCCCTCATAGGTGGAACATTAGCTCACCCACTCCAGGGAAGAGGGTTCTAAAAAAAAGTCAGATGCTTCCATGTGGTCTGGTGCCTTTGGATGAGTACACTTTGAGGACCCCACTCATAGCATATAGCAGGGGTGCCCACAATTTTTGTGTTAAGATCTACTTTTCAAATGACGAGATACATGAGATCTACCAACGAAAAAAAACCTCCCTTGTTCTCTCTCTCTCCTGGCTGCCCCTCCTTGCGCTCTCTCTCCTTGCTTGCTCTCTCTCCTGGCTGTCTCGCCTCACTCTCCTGGCTGCCATTTCTCGTTTTTGTTTTCTCTCCTGGCTGTCTCTCTTCCCTCTTGGTCGTCTCTCCCCGCTCTCTCTCCTGGCTGTCTCTCTTGGCTCACCTTGCTGTATTTTGCAAACAGTGCAGTGCAACAGCCTGTGTAAACTAATATTCTTTGATGTAATACATAGCACTTCAACCACCAGAAAGGTGTCAGGGAGCTTGGCTCAGCAGACTCAGGCTAATGGGTAATCATGTGTGCACAGCTAAATAAATATACCAAAATTGAATAAAGGGGCCGCCATTCACACCCTTCCTGATCTACCAGCATCAGCTTTGAGAGCTACTGGTAGATCACGATCTACCTAATGGGCACCCCTGGCATATAGTCTTCCAATGACAGGGAGGCTGGTCTCTGCCTTGCAGGGAGACCCATGCTCACAGGAACATTGCCATGATGACACCACCCTGAATGTAAGACTAACAATGAGTGTTGAGGATTCCACTATTATATGCCAACAGAGGTTCTCTGACTTGATTGGTAAGAAAAAAAAGGAGAACCTATTGCTGAGATGTGAAAATTCTGCAGGCAGTCAGAGAAGTGACAGCTCTTTGCTGAAGGTAAGACACTACCGTGTTTCCCCGAAAATAAGACAGTGTCTTATATTTTTTTTTCTATGAAAAAAGACACTAGGTCTTATTTTCGGGGGACGTCTTACCTGGCTTGGCTGCCACTGTCCGCTCTGCCGTCCAAGGAGCCACAGACAGGTGGGCGTGCCGGGCGGGAGGGAGCTGCGGCTAGCGCTCTGATAATGCTAGGTCTTATTTTCGGGGTAGGTCTTACTTTCGGGGAAACACGGTACTAAGGCCTGCTATGTAAGCATGGGAAGGCATTCCATGCCCTGAAGGACTTCCAGAGACCCTGTAAGAGTCCTGCAGTGCAACCCATCTCCACCTATTGTGTGTGTTTTAATAGGTCCTTGAGTCATCTCGTTCTTAAGAGTACCTGTACCCCCGTATATTACGGTCTCTCAGGAAAGCTTCTTGAACGATTCCACACTATTTGCTGAAATCACTGCTTGAGGCAACGAGTTCCAGACCCTAACCGCTCGAACTGAGAAGAATCCCCTTCGCCCCTTGTGTTTGAATTTTTTTTCTACCAGTTTTAGGTTGTGTCCTCTAGTCTTTGTTACGGAATTAATCTTAAAGAGTTTACTGCCAATGTTGCTGTCACCATTGAACATCTTATACATGAAAATCATATCCCCCCTTAATCTCCTTACTTCCAGCGTGAACATATTTAAAAGTGTCCTTACATTCCCTGTGACCAGTGTCCTTGGCCTGATTCCTGCTCTATCAATCCCTGAGGCCTTGTTCACACCAAGCGAGTTCCAGGTGCAGAGCAGAGCAGTTACAGAACAGAGCAAACTGCGTCCACTGTATTCCAATAGTATTTTTAGCTCCAGTTCACATTGCAGCGTTCAGTTCCAGAGCAGGTAAAAAGAACAGCAGCAGGCACTATTTTACCTGGAACGCATGCAAACGCATCAAAAATGCATGCAAACGCCCTGAAAGCCCATTTTAAACTTTTTAAAAAATGTTTTTTTGGACCACAAACGGCCCGGAACCCGTCAAAAACGCGGCACAACTCACTGCACTGAGTGTGTAGAAACTCATGCAGGTCTGGTCTGCATTTGGTGTGAACAAGGCCTGACTGCTCCACAAATGCCTAGAGCTTGCATCCCCTGCTAATCCTATCATACCTCTGCCTCTAAGGCCTTGTTCACACCAAATGCAGACCAGACCTGCATGAGTTTTTTTTTAAATGGGCTTTCAGTTTTTTTTACCTGCTCTGGAACGGAACGCTGCGATGTGAACTGGAGCTAAAAATACCATTGGAATACATTGGACGCAGTTTGATCCGGTCTGTAACTGCTCTGCTCCTGGAACGCGCTTGGTGTGAACACTGCCTCAGAGTCATACCTGTGGGGGCCGGTGTCTTGCAGTGCTTCATGGGACTTGTAATTCCACCACAGCTGGAGGTTGCCTACCCCTTGGTATACATCACCATTGCCCTTAGCACTGTGAAATAAAAGACTTGACACCGCATGAAAGCACAACATTTTTATTAGTGGATCCTGTGATAAGAAATCAGAACACAGTGTTTACAGGGGGAAAAAAGACACAAGACTTATCTCTTTTGCTATTTAAGACATCGGAGAGAGCACATTTTCATTCTAGACACATTTATTAGCATTAGCACAACATCTCCTGCACTCAGGAACACAACCACAAATCCCACAATGGGTTAAAAACTGGTTGAATGGAACATCTACCCTGCGATGTCAGCACCGGGATACCCTCGAACAACCCAACACCCGCATCTGGCGTTGCCACCCAGGAGGTCCTCAGCGTCGCCTAGCTTACAGTCTCCCTTTAAGGTGTTTCCTGCTATTGACTAGCCTGGAACTGCCGATCAGTAATCAAGATATGAAAAGGAGATGAATGTACAATACAGAGAATCCAAAATAAGACTGCAGTATGTGGTTAGAGCGGAGATAGACAGGACGCTGGATAAGTAATCTGACTGCAACTGTGTCGGAGTTCTTTACTGTTACCAAAATGGCCAAGTATGAGATATATTGTAGCAAATGGAAACACAGCTAACGGTTGGTAAACTGTATCCAGTAAAATCCATGACATCAAATGTCATCTTTAGATATTTAAAGGAGGACTCCAGATTGTGCATTAAAAATCTGTATTCCGCCAGCTGGCTTTGTATTGGTCTCTGATTGAAAAACAAAAGGGCTATTAAAAAAAAACCTTTTATAAGCCTGTAAACCTTAGCAAAAGCCTGCCTGTGACACCATGCTTCTGTGTGTTGTGGACACATTGAGCCAATGCATACTAGGATCTTAAAATGGACACGCCCACATCCACACTTGCTCCCGATTACAAATATGCAATCATCATCTTGGAACTGACCTTTTAATTATCTGTACAGGTAAATTTGCAGCTTGCATTAAAAAAAAAAAAAGCCCAAATGCACATAAACTGATATTATACATGCTTGCTGCCAATGGTTATCTTGACTGGAGTTCCCCTTTAAAAATAAACGCCGTCACCGAGATGTATTCTCTAACCTCAGCATATGCCTGAAGAACCTCTACAGAGTTGAGATGTTTCTATTCGTGTGACCTTTCACAATAATATGAAAGAACACCAGCGGGGTGCGGGGATAAAGGGGAGGGCGGTGAATGGGCACTAGGAAAACCAGATCTTGCGGGGGCTGTCTAAGTCATCCCAATAAAGTCCAGGAGAAAAATCTGTGTATATCAATATATTATTCCATATATTTATCTACACACATTCAAACATACAAACTGGCACAACTTGCAGTGAACAGTGAACGCACCGCCAGTCACATTTACTGTATACTGGGGCAGGAGAATATACTCTAGGCTTAACCTAGGCTGGTGATATTGGCACGGCCCCCGGGAGGCGCCACGATGCGCTGAGTAGTGCGGCGAGGAATGTTGTCGTCAACCTGTGCACCTGGAAGACAAAGGCGAGTTTGTTATTGGATTTGTTTTAAGCGAAGATTTTACCATGGCCATTAACTCTAAGAGCACAGGAAACAAGACACAAGACAGAACTACGGCTGCAGCGAAAACGGTATAGAGTACCTTTACCACTGGTGGAACTACCAGGGTCGCAGCAGTCGCATGTGCGACCGGGCCCTGGCATTCCGCCACTTGTTTGGACCTGGAAAGATAGGAGAGAGTCTAACCCCCCGGCCTCGGTAACACGACGAGGCGTCAAGGTTCTCCTATGGCATGTTAGATGGATATCTAGTGGCTTGGTCTCTGCTCATTAGGCTGCGCTCTTTGCGCGGTTTGCTTTCTCCGCTCCGCGTGAGAACACAGACGTGATGTCAGTGGAGGAAGTAGCACTGACACGCTGAGGGGAGGAGCCTGGGCTGTGTGAGGAGAGCGGTAAGCAAAATTTGAGAGGCGGTGTTGGTGTGAAGGAAGGTGCCTCCTTGTGTGGGGTAAGTTCATCTATAGCAGCCCAATACTGCTGAGCTGATACAAGTTATACCAGCTAAGCAGTGTTGGGATGCTATAGATGAATTTGTCACACAAGGAGGCACCTTGCACTACCACTGGCGGAACTACCATGGTCTCAGCGGTCGCATGTGCGACCGGGCCCTGGGAAACTGCCACTTGAGGGGCTGGAAAGTAAGAAGAGTCTCTAGTAACTAACGAGGCAGGTGGTGGGGGGGCCTTCGTGGTTACTTGCACCGGGGCCCTAAAGTTTTTAGTTGCGCCTTTGACCTGTACCATAGTAAAAAGCTCAAGGCTAGAAAGGAGGGTAAGGGAAGTATACATAGTTCATCTAGGTTTTGGTGCATGTTTAAGGCCCCTGTCACATGGACTGATCGGAGCAGTACGGATCAGATGTCACCACTGTGACATCCCCGTCTCCATTTTTTCCTCCATCTTGCAATGAAACAACCAAAACTGCCGGACCCCATGTCAATCTATGAGTCGTCGGATGTATATGGACATGTGTCCGTTTACATCAGATTACCCTCGATCCGGTACGACCAGATCCAGCGACAAAGGTACGCGGTTCCATTTGTTTTTCCGGACCTGGACACGAGTCAGGGGTAACCAAGTGTAAACCGGGCTTAGACTAGCACTGGGCATCGGATCGGGGCCTCTTGAAAACCTTACGGGCGGACCCGATCGGACTGCCCCTGTGAGAGGGGCCTAAAATGTCACGTGTAAGGTCAAGTCTAGCCTTTTGTCTTTGCTCTTTATAAGGCAGTATTAGCTGGTTTTAAAGTGTTTTTATGAGGTGACGAGCAACAATGTTATTTAGCATCTCAGAATATCAGTAGACCTATGAAACCAAATCGAATTAGTCTACAATGGAAATGTAAAAATATTGGTTAGGAAGCTACTTGGGTGAGGTCCAGCTGAATGTGATCAAGTAGTAGTAGTTGACCAACCAGCTGTAGATCCTCAAATCATCTCTGAATTGGTGCTGACACGGCCCTTCCTTCTGGAGGGGGGCTACTTTTGTTCCCCATGGTCCCTGTGTGTGTTGTAAAGTAGTCACCGCTCTAAGCTCACTCCTGTGATGGACTACAATCTCAGTACAAATTAGTAAACTAAACATGAGATTGTAGTTAATCACAGGAGTGAGCTTGGAGCGGTGACTACTTTACAATACACACAGGGACCATGGGGAACAAAAGTAGCCCCCCTCCAGAAGGAAGGACAGTGTCGGCACCAATTCAGAAATGATTGGAGGATCTACAGTCGAGTGATAAACAAGAGACATTGTTGTTAATAGTTCAGGTACTTGAATGTATTAAGATTTTAACTCCTGAGTTTGGTGTCGCTTTAAGCTATGCATTCACCCAGCTAATCCCCAACAGCCAACCTGAGCTGGCCTCAGAAGCATGACTATCTATATGGATCCTGGAATCTTTGCGATCACATAGCTTCATAAAGTTTAGTGCAGACAATTCTGATCATTTCAGTAAGTCCTATATCAAGGATTTAGAGATAAATACATGGCCTAATAGTTTAGAACTGATGTTACCCCAAAATCTTAGCACATTATGCTGTGCATATTACACCGTATTGCTGCCCCAGTCTACTACCAGTTAAAAGGAAATTACCTGACAGACTGAATCCAGACTGGTGCAGGTTCCGTATTGGCTGTGCTGGTTGTTTGGCAGGAGATGTCTTGGCAGAGGATGCAGGTGTTACCGCTTTTGGAGTCACGGAGACTTCGCAGACAGGACCATCATACAGCCCTCGAGGAACGCCTCGCAGCTCAGCAAGCTGAAAGAAAATTTCGGTGACAAAGCTATCCATTGACGTAAACTATATAAAATTGATATATTTCAGTAAAAGATCATAAACACACTCCCCCTATCACTGGATGTCTACAAGCAGCTGAGTAGAAGCAATTACCATTCTTTGGCTCTCACGAATACAAAGTGGAAGAAAGAAGTAGAACAGATGTCCAAAGCAGCCAATAAGGCCTTTACTAGCATACAAAAACTGACCGCTGCTCTGGTCTGGATGCTGATTGGCTGCTGCTGCCATTTTAAAAAGGTAGTTTCATTTTTTTATCTGGCCTATTACCTTTACAGTGTGAATTTTAATTCAGCCCCGACGGGATTCTTTCCATCATATGTTCATGACGTACATTTGTACGAGGGAATACATGTGCACTAAAATGCACATTTTCATGCGTTGAGGCACACTGCATTAAGGCAGACCCTTAATTTAGAACGGGCACTCAACGTGCCTCAATACATGAAAAAATGCACCTACACTATATTTAAAAGTGCGGCAACATAACGCACAGAGTATTCACATCTGTCCATTGTGGTGCACTAAAGCGCAGGTGCAGTTTTCGTTACTGTATATGTACATGGAGGTACCAATGAAAGTGAATGGCAGCAGCTTTTGTTACAGTATATGTACATTGGGCGGCCAATAAAAATGAATAGCAGCAAACTGAAATTTACATATACCCACATGTTACCACCATGCTAAGATGGGAATATGCCCTTGATATCCGATATCTTCCTAATTTTTGCCACTATATGTATTTTGTGCTCTCTTACTGCTCATCAGATCCCGAAACTCACCCTGCTTCGGGCTTTGATCCTTTTGTACACAAAGTCTGGGAAGGGTTTCCTAGAAATGTACCGTCCAGATCCCTCAGTAACATGAAGGTTACCATCTTCAAGAACTATCTTTCCTTGGCTAATCACTACTAGTGGGCTCCCACGGCACTCCATCCCTTCAAAAATGTTGTACTCCACTGCCTGCAATTAAAAATACAAGACAAGTACACTTGTTAATGAATATCATTAAGTGTTACTTACACTGCCTACCAACATTTAAGCTGTAATAAATGACATACACTGTTGTGCGTCTTGGCTGAGATTGTCTTTATAGTGTCTGGATCCCAGATCACAAGATCAGCATCAGATCCCACAGCAATGCGTCCTTTCCGTGGGTACAGGTTAAAGATTTTGGCAGCATTGGTGCTGCTGACAGCTACAAACTGGTTTTCGTCCATCTTTCCAGTCACCTAGGGAGACATTAAGCCAAGAAAGATGCAAGTCAGTCCAATCTCAGGTGAATTATCTCTAGAAACATTAAACCTACAGCTCCCCCATTTCCCTACAGTCTGAAAAATTATCTACCTTGATACCCACATATTACCCCTTGGCCTAATCACAAATATGTGAGGAACATGTCTGATCAATAAAATTGTCCTGATTGGATATAAAAACAATTCAGGATTTTGTATGAAAAGTTTAAAAGGAGAATTATGAGAGTGAAATACACTCAGCCTCATAATTAGAGCCGACTTGACACTGAAGCTGTCACACATTGGCTCTATTGATCAAGGACTGAGCGATCACAAACCGCCGATCACTCAGTTCCCGATCATCTCCCCGCAGAGAGCAATGACTGTCAGTCAGCATATAGCAGGCAATAGCCCGTTATATGCTGAGCTTTGGGTCACAGGAGTATATGTCCTCCTGTGACACTAAAGAGAACTATGGAAAAAAAACTTGGGACCATAGTTCTCGTCAATGTCACATGCTCCAGATGGGCAAGCCTCAAAGGCCAAGAATTAAGTCTGCCTGTCAACACGTACAAGCTAGAATACAAATGCAATAACATGCTCTTCTAGAATACAAATCTTGTAGTCTGGAAGCTGCATGGTATAACTAGTGCCTGCTAAAAACACCAATTCTACTGTAATATATCTTTCTGGCAGCCTATCAATGGTGAGACCCTGTTTCCCCGAAAATAAGACCTACCCCAAAAATAAGGCCTAGTACTATTTTTGGGAATTGTTAATATACAAGACCTACCCCGAAAATAAGACTTAGTTTTGACCATTCCCAGGGCCGGTGGTGGCATAAGGGGGAACTTGAAGAGCCGCGAGAGAGAATCAGCGGAACCAACGAACCCAGCGCTAGAGGAAGTGAGGCGACAGCGGAGGGAGCAGAGCCGCACAAGCCAATGCCTCCTCTATAGCGCCGGCTCCTGTCACTGGCGGAGCGCTACCAAATGCATTCCGCCAGTGAGGAAACGATAGTGAAAGCGTGTTTCGCTCATTCTGGCCAGCGAATGGTTTCCAAATTGCTCTTGGAAAGGTACGGCACCTCTGATTGCCCTGATCACCCTATTAACTTTGCCATTTTGGATTATTTAATTTGGATTTGCGTTAACTTTGGATTGTTGCACATTAACAAAAAAATAAGACCTACCCCGAAAATAAGATCAAGTGTGTTTTTTTGAGCCAAAAAAATAGACAGTGTCTTCTTTTCAGGAAACACGGTATTATAAACCTGGAGGCCAAGGGTCCGAGTATATTTACTCCTAAAAGCTATATACAGCCTCCCATACTTCCAGCTAAAAAATGTGAGAATTTATTAGGGATGCACCGATACTAGCATCGGTGCAGATACCGAGCATTTGGGGGACTACTCTTACTCGCCCAAATACTCCCGATGCTTGTGCTGATACCGAAACTCCCAGTATCAGAAAGTCGGGCGGTGAGTCATTACACGCCGCCGGCTTCCTGATTGGCCGGGAAACCAGCTCCATGCTCCCAGCCAGCATGGAGCCTATTTGCAGGCCAATCAGGAAGCCGGGGGCGGGTATTTACTCGCCCTCCGGATTCCTGATTGGCCAGGAAGCCAGGAGGCATGCGTTGGGAAGCTGGCCAATCAGGAAGCCCGCCCCCAACTTCCTTACTGGCCAGAAAGCCGGCTCCATGCTTCATCACCTGGTGACAAGGGAGCATGGAGCCGGCTTCCCTGTTATTCAGGAAGCCGGGCTACATGTCATTACATGCCACCCAAGCTTCCCTAATGGGACTTCCGTTATAGGTATTCGGAATTAGCAAGTACCAAAAAAAAAAAATTGGTACTCAATACCGAAAAAAACGGCATCGGTGCATCCCTACTTAATATTAACAAAATCCAGAGGTATGACTAGGTGTACCTTTTTATATCATTAAGAATGTGGCACTGCTGGTACAAATAAAACTGCAGGGTCTATATCAAAAACTTTAATCAAAACTTTTTCTCAGTTTTGGATACAATAGCAAAGGGTTAAAACACCTTTCAGGTTTTCACTGCTGTCTAGGTGTCACCTGGAGACATGTCCCCTCACTTTCAGACCGCTGTTTTTGGAACAAGAAGTAGGAATCTTAAATTGAATCAAAGACAGCAATAGAAATGTGACAACCCTTCCCCATTCAATGAGACAAGTGTGTTTATTGCTAAGGTTAGTAGCAGTTAGTTACTTCAAACAGCAATAAAAACCTTATACAGTTTCTAACCTTTCAACACTTTGTCCTAAACAGGAAAAATAAATGGCTGAAATTTGACTTAAATTTCGCTTTGCTGCACCCACTCCATTCCCCAGCTGCCTTACCCTTGCATCTAGTTTTGTGCTCCTTTTCAACAAGTTCGACCCACTGCTCATACAGTAATTTCTCGAATAAACCATTGACCCGCCCTAGCCCAAACAACTACTCTTCCCACTGTCTGTACCCACCACAGCTCGGTCCCACACGATGCTCATTCTCTCCTCCGCTCCATTGGTCCCTTCTGGAATTAGAGTGAAATTGTCTTTTCCGACAGCTTTCTGAGCTGTGTTAAAAGTGCAGTGTGCACTCCCACAAACCTGCAAGTCACCGCTGAGAAATGGGGGGGGAACAAACATTAATCCCAAAAAATAGCACCTTGACTTATAAATCCCCTAGGCCCAGATACATAGCACAAACGCATGGCATTCAACCAGGTATAGAGCTTATTACGGAACGGCAGCATACTCGACAATAGCCCCATGCAGCTTTACATTCTCGAGTGAGGTTTGGGAGAAACTGTGCAGACTAACTCATGGGTAATGTGGATCAAGGGAGAGGAAAAACATCATGAAATTTCACAAGTGCATACTGGTAGATATATAGGAGCCTTTCAAGGAAACTTTTTAAAAAGAATACGCAAAAGGCACACATTCCAGAAACATAGAACGCCAATTTTATTAAATTCAATTTATTACATTTAAATTTTAACTCAATGTATTAAATTTAAATCGTATTAAACGCAAAGAGAATTTTTTTAAATATGGAGCATAAATATAAACAACTGGACTCTATATTCACCATACAATCACCAAAAAATTCAACGGGCAACATTCACCATATTTATAAAGCTCAACTCTGTACATTACTATGAACTTTCACCAGGTGAAGAAAAAAAAATCCCTGACATTTGCAAATTTGTTCTGCAAAAAGGAACAAGTACTGTATATTCACTTGCTGTACTATTCACCCAATTTATAAAACGTTGAATGATACATTCCCTGCACATTTGTCATGCATTACTTGGACACATTTACCATAATTCAAATGGCTTAGATGGTGTATCTGCATTTTCGAATACAATGCATTGAATGCCTATAGATAACACATGTTTTAATATTAAAGCAGGACTCAAGGGGGCAAGTCAAATCTTAACCCTTTCAGTGGGGCTACCCCTGCACTGCAAGGGTTAAGTGCTCATTTTTTTTCTAAGGAGCCAAAACATCAAATTGACACCTGGCTCGATCCCAGCTTGCACTTGGACCGCTTCATCCACTTCAGCGATGGCATGCCCCTCAGTGTCCTCATGCTCTATACACTGTATAGAACATGATGACTCACAGGACCTTAGACCGCTGTAGCGGACGGGAAGCGAGGCAAAGAGAAAGCCGGGATCATGGCTCAGGTGAGTATAACTTATTTTTGCTCCCTAAAAAAAAAACCTAGCACTTAACCCTTGCAGTGTGGGGGTAGCCCCACTATAAGGGTTAACATTTGATGTGCCCAGGGTTCTGCTTTAAAGTTTTTTACTTTGCTATTGCCAATACTGTATAGAGAGCTCACGGCAGAAAATGTACCAGGTGGGTTCAAAGCTGTTTCTACAGCTTACTATACATCACCAGACGTTCACCAGTTGTCACCTTAGCCATGTGCATGGTCACCCAATTTTAAATAGGTGAATATGACTGGCAAATGTTCAGCAAATGAGTGGCCATCAAATGTACTATAAAACAGTCTAGAGTGAATGTGCGGGTGAATGTTTTATAAATATGCCCCTATGTATTTTACATATACAAAGCATGCAAGCTTATAAACCAAGCACAAGACAAAAAGAGTACTCACCAGGCAAGCAGTGAGTTGAGGAAATCGGGGGTACTGGAGTCGGGACTCAGAGGTGGAGATGTAACAAAAGCTGCTGCCTTAGCCCAGTTTTTACTCCAGTAATGGGAGCCATCAGTGCCCAAACTTGCAGTGACTGGCTCGCCATACACTACAGCCCCTGTAAAGACACAAAATGGGATGCTAAGCCTACACAACGAGCACTATATACACATGGAAACAACAAGGGGCAAACCAACAGAAGATGATGCCTTCATGCATATATATTTAAAGCACTTGGTGAAATGAGGGCAAGGGCCAGGGCTTGACATTGCGAACATTTTCCTTTTGATTATTAGTATCCAAATAATGTAGAATCGTCAAGGCAAAATATTAGAAAAAGATTTCACCTATAAGGATTTGACAATATGGGTGGCTGAGACTGCCAGACATGAACACAGCCATGTCTATCCAAATACTGACCCTCAGATAGCCGGAATTTGGAGAGACTTTGGCCCCTTTCACATGGGCTGTATGGAGCCGATGTCACAGCTATGTCCATCCAGTTTTTTTCCTTCAAATGAAATAACCGTACCCCATGTCAGTCTATGGGGAATCAGATGTAAATGGGCATGTGTCCAGATTAGATTACCCCCTGATCCAGCACAAGCAGATCCATCAAAACAGAACACGGTTTAGTTTGTTTTTCTGAACCTGGCCAGAGTTGGGGGTAACCAGGTGTAAACGGACGTACTTCTGTTTATACACGGCTGCCCGTAGAATTGGGCAAAATGAGCACTTAACCCTTGCAGTATGGAGGTAACCCCAAGGGTTAAGAGATTATTTGCACGGAGTTCTGCTTTAAAGTTTAAGTTAAAAAAAAAAAGGTTCTAACATTTACCTTCGTATTGGTGATACTGCGTGGAGGGCACATGGACATGTGTCTGTTTTAATCCGATAACCCCTAGTCCAGCACAATAAGGTCCATCGAAATGGAACACTGTTTTTCCGGACTTGGCCGAGTCCGGGGTTACTGAGTGTAAATGGACGCCTGTCCGTTTTACACACGGCTGCCCATAGACTAGCACCATCAGTTTTTTTAGGCAGACCCGATCAGACTGCCTGTGTGAAAGGGACCTCAATGCTCTCTGGTGGCACACAGGGGAAATGCACTGTAGCACTTTAGCTACAAGCATCCAATCATGCAGGGGAAATTAAATACATGAAAACCTCTCACGCAAAGGACTGGATGTTTAAGCCAAATTTCACTGCACGCCCCAGGGCTTTTTTTCCATTCATGGCGTGTATGTGCATTTGTGTTCTGCTTCCAATACTCACTCATTAAAGGAGAACTATGGGGTTAAGGCTTTTCCCCGTAGTTCTCCTTAGGGTAACGGGAGGACACAAACTAGCGTCCTCCCGTCACCCTAGGCTCAGTATACCGCGAGCTGCTGCTCGCGGTATACTGAGACGCCGCAGCTGAAGCGGATCCCGACAATTGTGCCGGGATACGCCCAGCTGCGTGACTGACAGCTGGCTCTGCCTATCTAGAGACAAAGCCAGCTGTACCCACCCCCTCCCCCGTCCGTCATCAACGCTGGCGGATCGGAGCGGGGAGGGGGAAATACAGCCCCTCCCCTGTCACGGCAGAGAGCCGTGACAGGATCGAGAGGTGAGCGAACGCCGGTATGTGTTCGCTCACCTCCCGATCTACTGAGCCGACCTGTGACAGTCTCATTGTCACAGGTCGGCTAGAACTATGAGGTGAGTGAAAAGCACTCACCTCATAGTTCTCCTTTAAACATTTCTGCAGGATTTGGAATGCAATGTTTAATTCTGCTTTAGATCTGTGTATGATGTTTGGATGATCTCAAAAGACACCTTTACTGAGAGCAATACAAAGGCAACCAGTCTAAAAAAAGGACTTGCACACCCTAACCCCGTACCCGCCAGCTGTTAACATAGGTGGCAGCTCAGAGGTGGGCCTTAATGTCTTCCTGCCACATGATAGCTCACGGTCACCAAGATACTGGGCTGGCAAGATGGACTACTGATCACGTGATTACAGGGACAGCCAGTCACATGATCGGGAAGCCCATACACTGTCCAGCAAACAGATGACAGTGCTCTGGCATTACGGTCATCTTCACGGGACAGGGCAGCTGGGAGAAAGGGATTAAATTGGTTTATTTTAATTAACACTGAAGTTCAGAATGTTTTTAGCATCACATGGGCTCCTCATTCAGATCTTATTATAACACGCCACTGGTTCTGCCCTAGGCAGTGCTTAAAAGAGAACTATGGGGTAAAGTGTTTTTCTCTTTAGGGTCACGGGAGGACATATACCAACCTCCTCCTGTGACCCAAAGCTCAATATATAGCGGGCTATTGCCCGTGATGTAATGACGGCACCACAGCCGGGATGGATCCTGACAATACTGTCAAGATCCCCACTGCGTGAGTGACAGCTGGCTCTGCCCATCTAGAGGCAGAGCGAGCTGTGCCCGCATCCTTCCCCATTCGTTCCACCAGTCAGCGCTGACGGATCGGAGAGGGGAGAATCCCTGCGGGTAGCGGCGACTGACAGTCACCTCTCACTGCAGGGAGATGATCGGAAAGTGAGCGGATCGGCGGCATGTTTCTGCTCACTTACCGATTGATAGCTTCTTTGTCACAGGCCGGCTCTAACTATGAGGATGAGTGGAAATCACTCATCTCAGTTCTCCTTTAAATGCCTTCCCTTAAAAAAACAGCAATATTCCCCCACCCTGCCACCCGCTGACTGGACTTGTTGCCAGCCCTTATGTTGTGATGTCACCAGGTCACTGGAAGACTTCAGAACCTGTGAGGACTCCTTAAAGACCATGTAAAAGCCCTGCGGTAGATACTTCTGCAGCCAATAGGCAGCATTCACGTCAGTAGGCACTGCAAGAAGAACCCTCCCATACTACAGACTGTAATGCAGAAGACTTCAGACCCAGCCTGTTGCATGACTGCAATTACAGATAAGTAAATTAGTATTTTAAGGGTTTTTTTTTTATGAAATCTAATGATTAGCTAAAGGGTGGGGAAGGAAAGGGTAGAATGTTAATGCTTTGCCTGAAGATGTAAATTAACTGACTAGATATGCCATGGTTAAAATAAAGTTAAAATTAGAATGTGTAAAGTAAAGGGGGCAGTTAGGATTAGGATACACAAAAGTCTATTTATCCTATAATATAGAGTATGAAAAATGCAGCACAGTGGCTTAGTGGTTAGCACTTCTGTCTTGCAGAAATGGGGGTCTCCAGTTTAAATCCCGGACTCATGGAGTTTGCATGTTCTTCCTGTGCTTGCGTGGGTTTCCTCCCACACTCCAAAGACATGCTGGGAGGTTAATTGGCTCCTGTCTAAATTGCCTGTATTCGTGTGCACTAGGATTGTAAGCACTTTGAGGGTTGATGTGAATAAGCACGGTGTGAATTGTCAGCACTATATAATACCTGTAATAAATAAGCGCAGCAGTCCAAAGCAACCTATACCAACTGGTTGGCTGCTATTGGTTAAGGAAAATTTCAATTTTAAAAGAGCCCCCCAAATTCTAGGCCGAGGAAATACCTTTCTTCCTGGACTGTGCAATAACTTCAGCTGAGCTTTTGCTCATCACCTTGGTGACATAGAGAGGACAGTTGGTCTGGTTGGCGATAGTGATGGAGCGATTGACAGCTTCTGCCTCCACCTGTATAGGAATTAGAAGAGTCAGGCACAGGACATGGAAACAGCAGACAATCCAAGCAAAACCCTAAGACATACATTCTAAAAGAACCAGAATAGAGAAAAGTGGGTTCAGTTCAGGTTGGAACACACTTCACTAAGCTAACTAATATATGCTTCTGTTCTAACATGGCAAGTGCTGGTCCTTCAAATACAGAAAGAATTGTTCAAAGTTCAAGTTAGGTACTCTATAGGACACTAAGAGCTTAGTGGGGTCCATGTGGAGAAAAAGAAAATGAAAAAAGAAATGAGAAAGCTGTATAACAAAGGAATATAGTCTTTGTCCTGCATGGAAAGCGCCATAGGAATCATGGTGGTGGTGTGTAGATAGAAAAAGACCAATATGCAAATAAATAGAGGAAAAATTATCTAGTAGATATAGAAGGCGGTGTGAATATTATTGAAGTGGGTAAATTGCAGACAGAAATTGTTCATTCTTTCTATATAAAATGCAAGTCCAGCAGTAGCCAATGGACAGGAAATGCAGGAAAATCCAACATGGCAACGAGCTTGGAGCAGTGGCTACCATCGCTCCAAGCTTGCTCCCGTGATGGACTACAATCTTATGTTTATCACGAGAACGAGTTTGGAGTGGTGGTTACTTTACAACACACACAGGGACCATGGTGAACAACAGTAGCCCCCCTCCAGAAGGAAGGACAGTGTCAGCACCAATTCAGAGATGATTGGAGTATCTACAGCCGAGTGATACACACATAAGATACATTTCTGTTAATAGTTAAGTGTATTTCCACTTTTGCAGTCCAATTTAGGAAAACCCCCTCCATATGTTCGTTATGTGTTCCTATTCACACAGCATGCTGAAAAATAACTTTCAAAAATAATTCTTACCTTATAGAGGTTTTGTTAAATCAGGCAAAATGGCCGATTGCAGGATTTTCCGAGCCCTTTCACAGTGTTCTGTCCCAATGGAAAGTCGTGGGACTGAAATTTGAGGATTGTGTTTATCTGATTAGCTTCATTAACATACAAATGGACAAGCCACTTCTGAATGGACAGGACCCCCTCACAGCCCTTCCTAACATTTAATAGAAGAAAAAAATGTAACCTTTAAAACCCTAACCCAAGTAAAAGTTATTTAAACTGCAAGAACCATTTTTTTTAGCTTCTGCTATGTGATTGGGAACACATAACAAATATAAAATCGGTGTTATCCCAATTTGGCTGTGAAAGTGGAAATACACTAAGGTACTTGCATGTATTTTTAAGATTTAACTCCTGAGTTTAGTGTCACTAAGTAGATGAAGACCAGGACCAGGCTTAGGAGTAGACAAAAGAGGCAGCCATCTTGGAAAGGGGGGAGCACTTTGGCTTTCTCACCTTGGGTACTAAAGGACCTTGTCCCAGCACTGTACCACTATTTATGGAACAAAAAAAAGTGATACTGAACCAAAGACCATAACCACAAAAATAGTCTCACCTCCTCCGGTCGGCTCAATACGTGTCCCTCAGGTCCTGTGATTCCTTGTTCTAAGATCCTCTGTTGCTCCTGCAATGGGAATGGCATTTTGTAATCTACCGGTTTCCTATTCGTAATACAGGCTCACAATACTCCTTTATGAGGATTGATAACATTGTAATATTGAATAAAGATGTACATTTCTGGAAGTATCTGCCCTTTACACTGCCTGGTCCAAAAAAAAAGTCACCATCTGGATTTCGGGTGGTATGATCTGGTCAGTTGGTCAAGTCAAGGTTCAGCAACGTTATGTGTGCAGAAAATTAGGTCAGCTGCCTACCTGAATATACTGAATGACCAGGTTTTTTCATCAATTGATTTTTTCTTCCCTGATGGCACATTGGGCATATTCCAGGATGACAATGTCAGGATTCACCGGGCTCAGATTGTGAAAGAGTGGCTCAGTGAGCATGAGACATCATTGTCACACATGGATTGGCCACCAGAGTCCAGACCTGAACCCCATTGAGAATCTTTGGGATGTGTTGGAAAAGATGTTACGTCGTGGCCCCACACTCCAAACATCACTACAAGATCTTGGTGAAAAATGAATACAACTCTGGATGGAAATAAATGTTGTGACATTGCATAAGCTTATCAAAACGATGCCAGGGCAAACATGTGTTGTAATCAAAGCTGAAGATGGACCAAAGGAGTGTTTGACTTTTTTGGCCAGGCAGGGAATATTTCAGCATGGCTTCAGCACTACCTTTGTTTCCCCACTAGATGTCAGGACGGTAAAGGAAACCGTGACAACTACGAGTTATGAAAAGGTGACCCAACTAATATAAGGAGATGAAGTCATTCAGAAGCAGGATGTTTGACAAGTACTGATAAAGACAGATCAGGCAGACTGCCAGTAGCAATGGGCATTTTCGCAAGGTAATATCACTTTTATGATGGTTCCATGTTTAAGTAAAAAACAAATCCGGTTTCTTTTTGCTGCGTGAAGCAATTCTTTTTTATATAATCATTTGATTGATAATGTAGAGTGTAACGATACACGTTTACAGTGATCAGAACATATAAAATCAAAAGTTAGTACATATGACCATGTAACAAACTTTATAGAAGACCATAGACATATGAAAGATCGAAAACAAACAGTAAACAGCAGTACTGTGCGGTCTTAAAGCCCATCTCCAGACGAACCATAAAACTACCCTTGCAGTGGGGCTACCCAAGGATTACGTAAACATTTATGCCTAGGGGAATGGAGTAAAGCACTTACTTACCTAATCCCCCCCCCCCCGTCGCCTCCCTCCAGGCTGCTTGACCGGTCCCTGTAGCCTCTCTTCCCCTTCACTTCGGTGGTCTAAGGACCACTGATGTCATCACATCAGTGACTTGTGTTAGACGTGAGGACGGTGAGACATTCCACCAACCAAAGCTGAGGGGGTTAGGAGGAAAGCACTGACCATTGGGGGAGCAGGAATCGGGTAAGTAAACCAGCTTTACACCCAGCTCATGGGCAAAAAACAAGCACTGAACCCTTGCAGTGCAGGCTAGGACCATTGCAGAGGTAGTTTTTCGGTTTGCCCTGAGATGGGCTTTAAGATTTGTTTGCATGGGCACGAAAGGGGCAAGATAATAAAATATATATGGATTATTTTTTTGTGACACAGATTTAAAATTATGCCACTTGGCTAGGGATGCATAGATACCAGTTCAGTTCAACCCTCTTTAGATCAGCGGTTGCCAAACCGGTGGTCCGTGAGAACATTTTGGTGGTCCCCGGGCCCCTCTGATGCCGTGCAGGCTGGGCCGTCATTAAGCGGGACGGAGCATCCGGGGCTGCCTCTCACTGACTCAAGCAGCGGCTGTCACAAGGAATGCGCGGCTCTCAGTACAGTGCGGGCTCTGCAGGAGGCGGGGCATCTCGGCAGTACCCAGACTGAGCAGGCTGCCGGACATAGAAAAAGTGGGGAGAAGCCAGGTAATAGTGGCTCAGTGCGGGGGAAGGGGAGGCACGGGGGTGGTTGGGGGTAGTGCAATATATATATATAACACACACACACACACTTCTAAAAAAATCATATTAGTGGTCCGCGGGATTTAAAATGATGAATTGTGGTCCATGAGGTTCGAAAGGTTGGCGACCGCTGCTTTAGATCACATGGCCAAGTGCCGAAGTTTGTGATGTAAGCAGCACTGACGGGACCTTAGAGTAGTATTTTCTCTAAAAAATAAAAAAGAGTTCTCAGCCCTTTTGTTGCTCTTTATTGTCCATTCCAGAGATAAAGTTAGTATAGCTCCTCCTATTGCTTGTTCCGACAGCATGAACCAAAAATAATTTCTATGCTACATAAAACAATGAAAAAATAAATAAATGTATAAACCAATCACAGATTGGTTATCGAAATGTATCTATTCCAAGACATTACTCTTACCTCAGCGATGAGATCACCGTTTTCAGCATGTACCTGTGCAATGGCACCAATCTCCCTGATCACACTGAACACCTCATAGATCTGTGGACAGAGAAGGGGTCGTCATTAAAGGCTCTTCCTCATTATGATAAGAGTGGGAAACGTTATTAAAAAGGTCATTTAAACCTGAGAACATGAATGTAATATATTGCAGCCCTTATATGTGGTGGCTGCAATAGTTTTCATATTCCAGGCCGAGAGCTTTTCATGCAAGTACAGAAAATATCTACTGATCCTGCCACAAATCCAATAACTTCCTGTGCACTGAAGTGAAATCTCAAACAACGTCTTTATAGTTTCAGTTCAGTGCACAGGAAGTTACGTTATCAGCTTTCCCAGCTCTCTAGTTACTTCTCCTCTATATGTTATGGAGATAAGCAAAGGAGAGAAATCTAGGGTGACAACACGCTCCTCATATACGGCACAATGAGTGAGCATTGTCACCCTGGGGCAGGAAGTGTGTTACCGGCAGGTATACCAGGTCAAATGAAAAGGGAAAAAGCCTGAAACATTACTAAAACTAATGCAGCCACCACCTCTAAGTACTGGTAAGCTGCAATTTTTGGAAAGGTTAAATGATTGGTTAATAAAAGCCATGAATTTCGAATTTTACAACCCTTTTTTGACAATGGTCTCCAAGACAAATGGCCCACCAGAATCAGGATGACAGTACACAGAGCCTGACCTCAGAAAAAAAAAAAAAAAAAACCTCATAGTTCTCCTTTAAGTTTATAATTCTGTGGTTGTGATTATTTGTGTATCTCTTTAAAGAGATTATAGATCACTTTCAATAACTAACATTTTATCATCTGTAGTCTTTTTAGAAGCCGCACACATGTCCTAACATGCAACAGTCACCTGCACTAAGTCACATTTGAGATGAAATGAATTGCAAGATAAGCTACCTATAGACAATATTGTACTCAGTGAATTATTAGGAGTCTTAGCTGACCCACAGGCTGCTCCCAAATCATGTTCCTGATTTCAAAAACCCCCTTTTGCAGCACTGCCAGTTCTTGAGCTAAACAGCCATTCAAAATATGCAGCCCGGTGCCAAGTGTCCGCTTGAGGTGGGATGGGCTGAGGCTATGGCCATGATGGAGCTCCATCCATACTTACAGCTTCCTGACTTGTCCTGTAGAGGAGCCTGGACCAGAGTGATGTCACATTCTGGCTCCCGGCACTTCTACAGGGCACGCAAGGGAGCTGTACAATGTATGGATGGAGCTCCATCACAGCACAGCAGCCCACACTAGACCCCAGGCTGAGGATCCACTCCAGTTCTGGTAATGTATTGAGACTGGGTGGATCTTTTGAATGGGATCCCAAACGCACCTCCCACCCACAGTTCGATTACCCGCACCGGAAAGCACAGAACTTCAATGCTGTAAATTCCATTGCAGTGCAACTTGGGTTGCGATTTAATGACCCAGGACAAATATGGGTCCTGAGGTTACACAGGTTGAGAACCACTGAGAACCAGGAATGTATCTGAGCTTGAATATTATGGTGTGACTCTTGAATTCTAAAGGACATGTCTCTACCACTACCCAAGGTGATAGTGGTAGGGACAAGTGGAAGCCCTACAGTGTGCCAAAAGCTGCCAACCCAATATTCAGATTCCCTACATGTACACTCATTGTAGAGTGCAAGCTGAAGTCCAGGATTATTACAAATAAATACCCTGGCACTGCAAGGGTTAGATGCTTGCTTTTGCCCAGCAAAAAGCACTTCTAGTTGCCTTATCCCTCCTTCCATGCTCTGGCTGGTGTTGGCAGCTGTGACGTCACCACCGACAATGTAGGACCATCAGTCCCGCATTGTAAGTTAGGACATCGAAGGCCCATCCACAAGCTAGGGCATTGCAGAGAAGAGATGAGCACAGGTGGCTTCCAGGGGAGTGAGGGATAAGGAAAGGAAAGGTCCTTTTTACTGACACCATGGGCAAAAATGGCCACTTAACCTTTATAACATTTGATATAGTTCAGCTTTATGTATACAACTTTGATAGTATGCCTCAGGGTAAACTTTTTTTTGTAGTGACAGGGCCACTTAAAGCATAAGCTGAGGTAGAGAATATTGTGGGACTCAGCATCCAGGTGAGTGTTCCTTGGCTATTTATCCTGGCCAGTTCTGTGGTTATGCGCTTCTAGAGGAGCTGTCTATCAGGACAGGTGTCCCGGAACCCTCACGCCCCACCTGGGCATTTGGGATGTCCATGGTGGGTGTCAGCGGAGGACAATCAGCTAACATTTGTTTGCAGATCCTCCCTGCAGTAAATGAAGCCGAGCTTGCCGTCACTTCCAGTTTCAGTTCTGTCATTCCCCCGCGGCCTCGTCCATCGAAGCAAAATGCACGTATTTTGCTTCGATGGAGTGCATAGGTCTAATAGACCCCTAATGTCTCCTTATGCAAAACCTGTCACATCCACTGTACTATTTCATATGGTGGGCTTGTCAGAAAAACACTGCACCCACTAGAGAGATATTCTTCTAAGTCCATCATTCACGGTTCACTATAAACTGATGAGCTGTAAAAAATGGACAATTTGGGGTACCAAAGTCTGTTACCATTTGGAAGGAACATGCAATTTTAGGGCTCAGCGTGTTTGATATCTATTTACTCGCTGCCACCCCATCTTTTATATTTTACCAAAAACTGGGTATTATATTATGCAATCAAAAATATAATATGGGCTTCATTAACCACCACGGGAAAAATTGGTTCTGCAAGCGAAAGGGTTAAAAGAAAGTGTGCACAGAGAAATATGCAGGCCGGCATGTGCTTATATTAAATAAAACTCTTGTATATGTAAAGGAAACATAAAAAACCTGTTATTTATAGTAGTTTGATGTCCTGATTAATACGCAGTGAGGAGAGCACTGATAACAGTGGCCGTCCTCCCATAAGAAGGGCACATCAGTATGCAGAGTGTGTCCCAGGAATGCTAGCAATGTGCCCAGCCTCAGGAGGTGACCAGTGCACTTGGCAGAAGACAACGTGTTCTCCTCACACACCCCGAGCGCTGACATCTGACTGTATACACTGCAACGCAATGTTTTCCATGGCTAGAGAAAACAAGGCTGCCCGAGCCCAGGAATGTACACTCCTCATAAGAGATCAGGGGGATCGCTCTTACCTGGGAATCTGTTAGCTGGAATTGATCCTTGTATGCCATATACACCAGGAAGGAGTTAATGCCTGCAGAGGAGGGACAAGGGAGAAATCATTAATGACATAGGACTCCATATGAACAAGGACCCATTTACAATTGTGTGTTGTGGTAATGCGCATGTGCATGCTTTGCAATAAAGCGGACCTTCACCCAAAAAACATTCACCATCACCCTCTTCCACCACCTCCAGTACTACATTAAAGGGGAACTATGAGGCGAGCGATTTTCACTCAACCTCATAGTTTGAGCCGAAGTGTGACAATGAGACTGTCACAGGTCGGCTCAACAGATCGGGAAGTGAGCGAACACATACCGTCGCCCGCTCACTTCTCGATCTATCCCTGCGGAGAGCAGTGACTGGCACTCAAGGCTCCCTGCAGGGATTCCCTCCCTCCCCGATCCTCCAGCGCTGACTGGTGGAACGGACGGGGCCGGTACAGCTGGCTCCGCCTCTAGATAGGCAAAGCCAGCTGTCAATTGCGCATCTGGGTGGATCTCGGGATCCGTCCCGGCTGCGGCGGTCTCAGTATACCGTAAGCTGTAGCTCGCGATATACTGAGCTTTGGGTCATGGGAGGAAGCTAGTTTATGTCCTCCCGTGACCCTGAGGAGAACTATGGGGAAAAACACTGACCCCATAGTTCTCTTTTAAAGCGGACCTTCACCTGACAAAAGAACACTTGCCATCATCCTCTTCCTCCACCTCAAGCATTGCACTAAAGACCTTCACCCAAAAAATTACACTCACCAGCATCCTCTTCCTCCACCCCCAGCTTTGCATTAAAGCAAACCTTGCCCTAAAAGTTACTCACCATCATTCTCCTCCTCCACCCCCAGTATTGCATTAAAGCGGACCTCCACCCAAAAAAAAAAACTCATTCTCTTCCCCCACCCCAAGCGTTGCAGGGCCGGTTCACACCACAAAGGCTGCGTTCGGCCTCTGGAACACACTGGAATGCAAGGCGGACGGCCCCAGTGTTCAGGGGGCTGGAGGGGGCGTGGCGGTGCATTGATGTCAATGGCACCGCAGTCACGCTCCCCCACCCGCTGTGCGATCACACGCACCGGAACACAGGCACATTCCGTTCCAGTGCGATCTGCAAAAATATTATTAATACTAAAAATACAAGCACTATTTTTGCAGATCGCACTGGAACGGAATGCAGGCACTAATGTGCCTGTGTTCCGGTGCGGGTGATCGCACAGCGGGTGGGGGAGCGTGGCTGCGTTGCCATTGACATCAATGCACCGCCACGCCCCCTCCAGCCCCCTGAACGGCCGGCTTGCGTTCCAGAGGCCGAATGCTCTGGAACGCAGCCTTTGTGGTGTGAACCGGCCCTAAAACAGACCTTCACACAAAAAAAACACTCGCCATCATCCTCTTTCTCCACCGCCGCATCGCATTAAAGCAGACGTTCACCCACAATTTATATTCACCATCATCTTCTTCTACCCCCAGCGTTGCATTAAAGTGGACCTTCATCTAAAAGTTACCATGACCCGCTTCCTCCACCCCCAGTATTACATTAAAGTAGACCTTCCCCCAAAAAACACTCATCCTCCTTCTCCACCTCAGGTGTTGCATTAAAATAGACTCACCCAAAAAAAGTTACTCCCCATCTTCCTCCAGTCCCAGCCTCTTATACAAATCACAATTTTGGTGGGTTTTTTGGGGGTCAGTGGTGGTACTCCCACCCATTTTCTCATTCCTTTCCTGGGCGAGGATGATGTCCCCTTGGTCCCCAGGAGACTACAGGACCAATCTCCCAGGCAAGAATGATGTGCCCTTTATTTCCCCTCCTCCCTCTTGCCCCATCCTCCTGGGATAACATTACACACCTCAGGAGGCTACAAGACCAACCCCCCCCCCAATATCCGCACAGTAAAATCGCCATTTTACATTTCAGCTGATATGGAATGGATGATGCACATTATACACAAAGGACGGCAGGTTATCACACGGCACAATTTAAGATTTTAACATTTACTCTCTACATGTTCACTGACTGAATGTACATATTTGATTTTTTCCTGCAGTTTAACTGCGCTCTGATTTGCACAGAAATCTTATGTATAGGTGATCATTCTTAGATCTATTTTCTTTTCAGGTTGAATGTATGTAATGTAATATTGCCCTTTGACCACTAGGTGACGCTAAAGACCATTAGAAAAAAAGTGTTTTTTCTGTGCTCCTCAGCTCCATCTAGTGGCCATTACATACGTTTAACCTGATAAGAGACTACAACTAAGAAAGTTCATTTCTACGTCTATTTCGCACAGAACGAACATTTAGAAATTTGCAGGCTGAGTGGCTCTGTGAATTGATTAATAGACCTTATAAAGCTTAACCAATTAAAAAAAAAAAAAATGAATACATTGAAAACCTCAATTTTTGCATCTATTTGCACAGAATGAATGTTCAGATAATTTGCAGGGCGAATGGCTCTGGGAATTGGTTAATGGACCCCACAGAGTTTAACTAATTAAAATGAAAATAAAATTGAAAACCTCCATATACAGAACCCAATACCCACATGTTACATACCCATGGGGTTATAAATGACCCCATGTGTCTTTTCAACCTGTAAAACTGCATGCACTTCACAAGAAATTGCCTAAATGATCAATGCAATATACTAGTAATAGCTTCACTTGCTGCCGGTAAGTTGCTATTCTGTCATTTTTAGAAAACTGGATAAAATGTGTTGAGCTAGCCTACAAAAGGATTACATACAAGGTCAACGGTAGTGCCCAGTCACACGTTTCCATTGCCATGCATCACGTGAATGTGCGCTAACACACATAAGGTGTGTTGTGGGGGCATATCGTTTTGAACGGCAGCTCAATGCATTAAGGCAATGCCGCTCCAACACATGCGTTGCAGTACACCACAGCACATGGTAACCCAGTACTGTGCGTTGCGGTGCACTGCACTACCAAAAAATAGCCAAAAAAATTCTGTTTTAGGGTGTGTAGGTATCTTGTGAGTACATTAATTTGACTGCATTAACGCAACACACCAGGACGCCAAGGTCTGAATGGGCCGTGGTAGCTCCTGGTAACTTCCTGCAGACAGCCCCCAGATCTCTCCCATGCAGCACTGAACTTGGCGTGTGCCCACTGTTAGGAGGCCCCTTTTATTGAGATGGAATGAAAACCCGGTAATGTCAAACATCTCTTGTTGGTGTTTGTATCTATCCATGTCTATCCATGTCAGTTATGGGACTCACCATGGTCTTTCACCAGCGCCTCCATTTCCTCTTGTACGCCCTTATGCCACTCCGTAATATCCACGTGCAAGGAATAGTCACAACAGCATTTGCTGTCTGCCCACTCCCGCCACTGGTCAAAAGCAGTAAGCAGGCTGGTTCCTGGCTCTGGCACGACATGGTCAACTGGAATCAGGAAAAAACAAACAGTATATGAGATTGGACTCCAAGAAACCAAACCTTTGCGCTAAAGCGGAAGTTTATTCTGCTTATATTTTGCTTTCCCTGATCCCACCCACCATCCTACATCCCTTCTATTTTTATTACAGATCTTATTTTAGTCACAGTGATGTCATTGATGGGTCTGTGCAATGCAGGCAGATCATGGCTGGTGGGAGGAGACATCAGGGTGCTGTGCATACCCTGTTTCCCCTAAAATAAGACCTACCCCGAAAGTAAGACCTAGCACTATTTTTCAAGATTCCTGTAATATAAGACCTACCCCGAAAATAAGACCTAGTGTGTTTTTGGGGGGCAAAAAAAATATAAGACAGTGTCTTATTTTTGGGGAAACACGGTAGCTTCCTGAAAACATCACCGCACACTGCCTCTGTACTTCTTTCAAGAGCCCTCAGCCCCGATATAAACAGTGGGCAGGCTCTTGGGAGGAGTTATGCAAATATCAAAATGCCTTCATGGGCAGTTAGTTTGGAGGAGTGAGTGTTCTTATGTTGGATTTGCATGCAGACCGGACTAGATAATGCCCACATGTGATGCTGGGCCTCCGTAATTAAAATAACTTGAAAGCAGAAAATGAAAGACGGGCCATTGATAGGCTGGGCAAGAAAGGCCAAGATGATGCTGGACATCCTCCAGCCAGGAAGTGAGGCGTGCTCCTACCTTACATACCGCAGCTTCTTATGCACACTGAATCTTGGGGATACACACCATTGGTTCTGGATGCATAGATGGCTGGGCAAAAAAAATGATTTGCATAACTCCGCCCACTTACCCATAAGCAGGGGACTGAGCTTGGTTTTGGGTTTTGTGCCGCCTTACCATGACCTTGATGGTTGTACTGTTCCCCTGGACTCACAAGCCCTACACCCTAGAGCCCATAAAGCTGTACTGATGAGGGCTAAGTAGCCTGAATAATGTGTATGCTAGTCCGGGGCAATATTTTTGCACTCCGGCCCCTAAGGCCTGTCAGCGTGGTGCACTGGCACTTTAGATTTATTTATGCACTCTATGCACGTTTGGCACTTTTTTATTTTTAAATTTGACCCACAGATGCGAAAGGTGCAGGTTTCTTCGGGGCCTATTCCTGACGCTGGGAGGAGATTCTGTGCCTCGTAGGGGGTTCTCTGTCTCCTCCCACCCAGGAAGGGGGTCTCTCTTCGGGAGAGCCCCCTTGCCAAGTACTGTGGGGGACCTGTTTCGGCAGGTCCCCAAAGGAAATGGACCATCGGCCTTCGGGTTGGTGGTCCAAAGTATCTCAACCCCTGTCAGGAGCCTTGCGCCCCGGGGGGTCGGGAAGTAGGTCCCTTCTTTGGAAGGACCTTGCACCCTTGTGCACGTTTTTGTGTGCTGTGATTTCACGGTTCACTTTTTTTGTTCACAGGGGGAAATTTGTTTAGATGCACGTCCACGGGCTTCGAAAAAAAATCTGTATGCACATAGGTAATCGTAAATGTTTTGGGGTTTTGTTCTGCATGTGAATGCCTTCCATTAGAAGAAGGCAATGCTGCATCTCATAGTACTTTAGTGGTGGGCTTTTCGATTCATTTTGTAGAACATTACTGCAACCTTAATGGCTGTACTGTTCCTCTAGACAGATGAGTCCTACACCATAGAGCCTGTAAAACCATATCTTGCACTGATGAGGGATAAGTAGCCTGAAGCTGTATGTGTGCAGGTAACACTGTTTTGGGGCTGGAAGTGAGGACGATAGATACCTTCTGTTATAAGAAGGCAATGTGGTATCTCCTAGTTCTTTCGCGGTGGGATGTACTGTTCCCCTGGACACTCAAACCCTACACCATAGAGCCCATAAAGCCATATCTAGTAATGATGAGGGCGAAGTAGCCTGAAACCGCTGTAATGTAATACTATACTTCTCTGATAACTGCAGTAAAATGAGTGATGTACGATTTCTGATTGGTTAGCTGCCATCTACTTCCTGTAGAAGCCCCTATAGACAATGTCAGATACAATCGAGTACTAGTAAAAGCATCGTCCTTTGAATGTATCTGAGGCATTACATTTCTCTACAGAAACCTGTGTGAGGAACATCAGAGACCTAGCTTTGCTGAAAGCTTTGATCCAATGTATAGAAAGCCTCTTACTGATCATGGTGGTGCCTCCAGCCAAAGCCGCTCTGGTTCCCTGGAAGAAGTCATCGACAGACACCATCCCATTGCAAGGTCTCTGGAAGCAGGTGTGGACATCAATTCCACCCGGTACCACCATCCGTCCATGAGCTTCGATGGTCTTCACGCCTCCCGGCACAATCAGGTTCTCACCAATCTGCCTGTAAAAGAATAATGGGGTGGGTTGCAGAACTACAGAGGATGAAGGGAAGACATGGATGGGACCTAGGAGAGACGGCTTATTCCATTTCCTGTTAGCTGCTCGGTGAACAAATTTCAGTATCTGTCACAATGAATGAAGTTCCACACATGAGCAGGAGTTGTATTGTGACGGAAAATTAATATGGCCGTAGATCCCAAACCCAGAAGAAGACTGGATGAAGATGTCAGCACCTGTGAGGGAGCTTGCTGACATCACGTCGCTGAAAGGGAGGGCAGTGTAGTTCCACTTTCATTTAGGTTTAAGTTTTATTAATTATGTTTTATTAATATGCAGACCTCGGTTAACTGATCAGGCAGGCTTTTTTAAATGATTTTCGAGAAATAATAAAAAGGCGAAACTTTTTTTTTTTTTTTTAATTGGTCCCCCAGGTACTGAAAAAAAAAAAAAGAGCTCTGGCTCCAAAATGAATCTTTAATCCAGAGCCATCACTGCAGTACCTCTTCCTGACCACAAGATGTCCTCAGTCTTCCAGGTTGAATGACACCCACCAGAACTCAACCAAGAAGACTGAGGATTCTGCTGTAAATGCAGAACGTCATGGTCCCACCCCCCGAGGAAGTGTCACCTCAGCACTCTTCATTAACTGATGCAGATGCAGTGTACTGATGCAGAGATGTAGTGATGTACTGATGCTTGGCACCTCACATCTAATGGACCTACAGAAGGGCTCAATATTTCCACTCGCCTGCTCGCATTTGGTGAGTGAAAATAAAGTGAGGGCAAGTGGAAATTTTGGTCTCCGAGCACTGGTCCGGAGGGCAACTCCGGCCCGCGAACCGGTACTAAGTTGCCCGCAGCCAGTTGACAAGTCGGCAACACGGTCACGGACCGCGTACCTGACTTGCGGGAGCAGCTACACGGTCAGCATCTCTGACGGATGCAGACCGCAGAGCTGCTTCTGTCAGCTCCGGCTTCCTTCGGCCCGAGCTCTGAATCTTCTGAGCTCCGGCCGAAAGAAAGGATGTATTAGAGAGGCCTGCAGTAGACCCCACTAATCACCCACTAGAGCACCAGGGATCGATCCTCCTCACAGCCTCCTCCCTGAAAAGGCTAGCAGGGGACGGGGGGTAACGTTGAGAAGTGTATTATTGTGTATTAGTGTGTGTGTATATTAGGCCCCATTCACACTTCACACCTACAGTATATTTCAGGTGTGATTAGGGATTCGTATGTCAAGAACGTGCGTTTTCCTGCAGCACGTATCCCTAATCTGCCGTTTACAAACAGCAACTATCATAAGATAATCATAAGATTATTTAAGAGGGTGTGTTTAGGGGCAGAGTGAAGGCCGAGGCAGGGTAGGGGTTAGGTGGGGCAACTAGTGACGACTAACTCTTAAGGCCTGGCTAGTCTCTCAGGACTTGACATTTTGAGCCCTGATCTACAGTACATTAGATGTGATGACTTACGGGACCTTAGACCGCCGGAGCCCGGGGAGAAGAGGCTGCAGGGACTGGTCTGAACAAAAGTGAGCAGTAAACGCTTGCAGTGCTGTGATAGTCCCACTGCAAAGGTTGACTTTTAAAACCCCCTGGAGTTACTCTTTAACCACTTGCTGACCGCGGTGTTACACCTCCTTCCCATCCAGGCCATTTTTCAGTATTCAGCGCTGCGGTGCTTTGACATTTATTCCGTCATGCAACGCTGCACTGAAATTAATTTTATACCATTATTTGGGGACAGATAAAGAAAGCTTTCTTTTGGTGATATTTAATCACCACTGGGGTTGGTTTTTTTTACTATATAATTTTAAAAAGTATCGAAATAAAAAAAAAACGGTTTTGCCTTTATGTTGTAAAACATTTATTACTCCAATTTGGTAAAATATAAAAGACTGAGTCACATCGGGTAAATAAACACCAAACATGTGAAGCCTTAAAATTTTGTGGGGCTGTGAAATCGCAAAAAAGCTACCACACCCAAAATTGGCCATAGCTGACGCTTTAAAAGATTTTACCGTTTACCAGTTTAGCTTCATCAGTGATTGATGGCCCTAAAATGATTGCTCTGACTGCGACGGTTACGACGATATGTAACAAGTGCTGCGTAATTGGCACAATCGTTGTTTTTGCGCATAGGCGCACCTAACGCATTTTTGTGCAACTATGTGGGGGACTTTAAAAAAAATTTGTGGATTTATTTTGTGTGTAAATTTTATTTATTTTGTGCCCAATTTTTTTTTTTTTTACACAACTTTATTGTCATCACATAGGGGAATACGAATCCCCCTATGTGATATCACATTACAGTGACAGGTCCCCTTTATGGAGACATCAGGGGTCTCCAAAACCCATATCACCTTGGGACCCCCCAGAGAAGCTGATGAAGCCCAGATCTGCTTCACCAGCTTCTCTCTGGTTTCTGTACCAGAGAATGACAGAGGAATGCGGAAGTGATGTAATAAACATCACTTCCTGCATTCAGAGACCAGGGAGGAGAGCGGAGGGAGATCGTATACTGACCTCCCTCCGTTCTCAGTGCATGGAACCACATTGCCAGTCCCGGATGGGACGTCCGGGATCGCGGCGCCGAGGAGAGGTAAGGAGGTGGGGCACAAAGAGATGCATCATACGGTACAAGCGATCGGGCGTCTTTACAGACACCAGACTGCTTGTATGTATGCAGCCGTCACTGGGTGTTTCAAATTCTGGTGGTTTCCCGCTCGTGCGTGCCCGTTTAATGATGCCCACCCGTATCCAGAAGACTCCCGTCCGGCAGGTTCTGAACGTTCGGCGGACGGGAGGTGGTTAAGCTTGAGGCAGATACCATCCAAAAAATGGGTATGGAAAAATCAAGGATTCTACATTAAATTCGATAATATATTAAAGCGGAACTCCAGGCAAACAAGTAAACACAAAAGGTGAAATATGTATATTTTAACCTGCTAAAGGATTTGTATTTCTGTTCATCCGTTCCTGAGATTCACACAGATCTGCCACAAAGCACAGCCCTGATTTTTCTTTGCTGCAGTTTAGTACCAATAGTAGGTCTCCTGCCCACTCTGTGACTGGACAGTGAAAGGACAATCAGCAGCCCAATGAGCTCATCTCTCTCCTCCTATCAGCATTCTTCTTATACTTCAGCACAATTGATTGGCTCCTTGTGCTTTCTTTATTTCGCCCATTCTGAATACTGTTGTACAGGGACTGCAAGTGGCTGATACCAGGTCATATTCAGGTACCTATACTGCTTGCATTTAAACAAAAAAAACTGATTGATGTAATAATGATCACAGAGCCGTGCACATATTCCTGCTACCGCAAATCCAAACAAGGAGGTTGGTTCTTCATTTAAAGTGCATGCAGAGGCAAACAGGAAGGGAAGGGTAAAGCCAGCCTGCGGACCGAACTAATGAAAATCAATTGATTCCTCCATGCAAGTTAAAACCGGAGCGGATTGAGGAATCTCCACTGCTGGCCATTGTATTCAGAAGCCGCTGCTGGCAATACCCAAATCAAATATCAAAATGACATCCGGGAGTTGCTGTGTAAACATTGTTAGAGAAATACAAAACATTTTTACTTTTGTATCTACATTTATCTGAAGATCAAAGGGACAAGCTTCCATCTGCATATGGTGTCAGGTGAAGCAACCTGATTTTTAATGTGTTCCTATCAAAACACCTGAACAGTGCCGGCATCCAATCAGATTGTTCAGGTGTTTTGAGAGCCAGCGGGGACCTATACTGAAGCTCGGCCCAGTTGGGAGATCCGTCCATCCACACAGCTTAGCGTAGATGGCGGAATCTGTTGCACTTTTTCCCTCTGACCAGAGAAAATCTGCAGATAATCCATTTCACTTTGCAATAGCCAATAGCAAACTAGCTATTGCACCCGCCCTCTGCTGCTGCCAATCAGCAGAGGGGGACCTGAAGTTCCCCATCAGGTCCTCTTCTAGTGATGGACAGCAGCAGAGGGCAGGTGCAATAGCTAGTTTGCTATTGGCTAGTGCAAAGTGAAATAGCCAATAGGAATCTAGCTATGTATTCCTATGGTGGGTTTGTTTGTTTTTTTATTCTGACGGCGTACGCCAGTGGTTCTCAAGCTGTGGGTCGCTGTGTGATTTCTGCTGTGCTACAGAGTCCTCCTCAGCCCTATCCTAGCGCAGCAGTGTCAGTTCTCCCGCCACGACGCCAGATGTGGCTGCAGCAGCCGCATCATCCCTAAATTTTACGGTTGGGGGCCACCACAACTTGGCAAATGTTACCAAGGGGTCCCGGCCCTAGAATGGTTGAGAACCACCGATCTAAAGTAAACAGGGGACGGAAGAATTCATTCGTATGCTGCCATGTTGGTGTTAGGAAAATATATACATTAGGGATGCACCAATATCGAGTAGTACGAGTACTCGCCCAAATGCTCAGATACTTACCTCCGATACCGGAGAGATCACTCTGATCGGCAGTGCAAAGGGAACATGGAGCCGGGTCGCTTTCCAATCAGGAAGCCGGGCAGTGGGTTATGACTGGCATCCTGGCTTTCTGACCAAACTGGAAGCCGGATGGCACGTCATGACTGGCCTCCCGACTTCCTGATTGGCTAAGAATCTGGCTTCTTTTCTTGCTAGGTAGCATGGCTTCCTGACCAATCAGGAAACCGGGAGGCGGGGCATGACCCACCTCCCGGCTTCCTGATTGGTCAGGAAGCCATGCAGTCTCGGCAAGTGAAGCCGGTGTTCTTTCGATAGAACACCGGCTTCCCAGGCAATCAGGAAGCCGGGCAATGGATCAGGATCCGCCGCCCGACTTCCTAATAATCAGGGCACACGGCAAAAAATATCGGTACTCGATACCAAAAAACTTGTATCGGTGCATCCCTAATATATGGTATATATCATCTATATCAAAATACAATATATTGGACACGATGGTATAATCATAGTAGGTTTACATGCGGGTCCTTACTATGTTCGCCTTGCAAAGCAAACAGTATTTAATTATAAGCTGCATTCTAGAAATTGGGTGTTTCACTTACTTAATCAAGCCATCCTCCATGTAAATGTCAGCATAGAATGACTGGTCATCATTGGCGATCTTACCTCCTTTGATAAGGAGTCGATCACTCTGAAAAAAACAAACAATGCAATAATTGTTAATCAGCCGCATTTTAATGACGGAAAGCATGCTGCAAGTGTGGAACAAATGTTCACCCCACGATCACATCCTAGTAATGATTCCCCATTCAGCCCATCAATAACTGACTAGTTACTAGCACCCAATACAAAAGATCTGAGGGAACTCCCCAGCCCTGGTGGCACAACCAAGCAGAGCCAAAACTGAGCAATGGCGTGATTACATGAACATGGGGATTTGAAGAGGATCTAAGCACATAAATAATTAACCTCCTTGCAGTGATTAAACATTCATCACAGATGAGAAACAAGAATTAGAACAATATGTCTGCGGTCTCCAAAGTTGCGGCACTGCAGATACATTGCTCCCCGACATTGATCCTCAGATACAGTATTGTATTGTGACCCTATTATGGTGAGACGTTAATGGATATTCCTGTAACCCTCGATGCCTTGGTCAACTGTACATATTGGCCAGAGACACAGTGGAGGGAATTTATTAAAACTGGAGCAGATAAAATCTGGAGCAGTTGCCTATGGCAACCAGCTTCTCTCGAGTTTGTTCAGTTAAGCTTTGAAAATGAAAGGTGGATGCCGATTGGTTACCATGCACGGCTACCCCAGATTTTTGCTGTTCATTTTGATAAAATCCCCTCTATGTACATTACATCTGGTTTTGTACATTTTAAGCGCACGTTATACCCACTACCTACTTCTTGGGCTTTGCTACTACAGCTGACCAAACACGTACAGATTAGCCGGTGGGCTGAACAAAATTTAAAAAACAGCTTGATTCCCCTATCCAGGCAAAACAGAGTGGATGGGGAAATCTCTGCTGCCAGCTATTGAATTCTGAAAGCCAGGGCCCGCTACAGTCTGAATAACCAGAGACTTTTGCTAATTGGCCGCTCCTTTAATTTTGCAACCATGCTTCGTCAAGCTGGGGGGGGTGCCGGCAGGGCCGCCCATGGTTAGAATTTTGTCCAAGTCACAGGCGTCAGTGGGAATTTAAATGGCGCACCTTGAACTTGGGACATGGCGGGCAGAGAAGATGGTATTTTTGCATGTTAAACATTGCAACAGTCAACAAAAATGTATCCGATTAAAAAAACAAATCATATTTTTCTGTAAACAAGTGAATTCTACATCCCTTTGGTAGACCATCTAGTCATGGCTTTGGCCTGTGCTCAAGGCAGAATCTCAGGGGAGTGACATCAGGGTCCAAGCAATGGCCAGCTCTGCCTGCCTGTTCAGTCTTTCATGATCCTGGGGTACAGACCACATGACATACCATGGTCCTTGTCATGTGACTGGGCAAGGGATGACTGTTGAATCAACCTAAATACAGACAAGGGTAACAATTGTTACTCGTTATCTCTATCTGCTGCAGGGAGGGTAAATCAGGGCTAGGCAAATCCCAGGAGCCAGGTCGCCAAAGCTCTTTAAAAATAGCAGCTGAAGACTAACGGTGCCCATACACTGCACGATTCTCGTACGAGAATCGCGGGAAATCCTGCGATCGTGCGAGAATCGTGCAGTGTGAGTGAAGACGTGCGACCGTTTCTACTGTACGGTCGCACGTCTTTTGTCTAAGGAGCACGCTAGAAAACCAGCCGAAAATCTTACGATTTTCGGCTGGTTTTTAGCATGATCGTAAGATCAATGCCGCACGGGCCGGTGTGCGCACGCGCACACTGCCCGTTCAGCATTGCAGTCATCGCAAGCCCGCCCCTCAGGGGGGCGGGCTTGCGAAGATCGCAAGTACGATCTGCCTGTCCCGGATGGGCAGATCGTACATTTTTTAAATTACTTTACAACCATCGCAAGACTAAGGTATTGCGATGGATGTAAAGTGTATGGCCACCTTAAGGCTGGACACACACCTTACAACCATCGCAAGACTTTTGTCTTGCGATGGTTGTAAGGTACTTTAAAAAAACGTACGATCTGCCTATCTTGGACAGGCAGATCGTACTTGCGACGATCGCAAGCCGCGCCCCCCTGAGGGGCAGGCTTCCGATGACCGCTATGCCGAACGGGCAGTGTGCGCTTGCGCACACCGGTCCGTCCGGCTTTTATCGTACGAACATGCTACACACCCGCCGAACATCGTACGATGCTCGGCGGGTTTT